TCATAAACCCCCTAAGACAGAGAGAGACACCAGACCCAGGGCTTGAACCCAGCTTCTCAGTGTCTCTTACTTGGTCATCATGAACCCCCTGAGACAGAGAGAGACACCCAGATGCAGGGCTTGAACCCAGCATCTCAGTGTCTCTGGCTTGGTCATCATGAACCCCCTGAGACAGAGAGACACCCAGACCCAGGGATCGAAGCCAGCATCTCAGTGTCTCTGACTTGTTCATCATGAACCCCCTGAGACAGAGAGAGACACCCAGACCCAGGGCTTGAACCCAGCCGCTCTGTGTCTCTGGCCCAGCCACCATCTCCCTGAGCCTCTCGGTCTCCTCTCGTCTCTGCAGCAGCAGCAGCGTGTGTGTGCAGCACGAGCGTGTGTGTGTGCAGCAGTGTGTGTGTGCAGCAGCAGTGTGTGTGTGTGCAGCAGTGTGTGTGCAGCAGAAGTGTTTGTGTGTGTGTGCAGCAGCAGTGTGTGTGTGTGCAGCAGGAGCGGCAGTGAAGCAGGAGGAGGGTGAGGGCCGTCTGGGCTCCGAGATCGTGAGGACGCTGGTGAAGAGCGAAGTGGTGGACGGTGATGATGGTGAGTGAGAGAGGATGGTTGTGATGGTGGTGATGGTGAGTGAGAGAGGATGATGGTGATGGTGGTGGTGAGTGAGAGAGGGTGATGAGACGATGGTGATGAGTGAGAGAGGGTGATGGTGGTGATGATGAGGGAGAGAGAGTGATGGTGATGATGGTGAGTGAGAGAGGGTGATGGTGGTGATGATGGTGATGAGTGAGAGAGGGTGATGGTGGTGATGGTGGTGGTGATGAATGAGAGAGGGTGATGTTGGTGATGGTGGTGAGTGAAAGAGGGTGATGGTGATGATGGTGAATGAGAGAGGGTGATGGTGATGGTGATGATGGTGATGATGATGGTGATGAGTGAGAGAGGGTGATGGTGATGAGTGAGAGGACGTGTGTTGTCACCGCGTGCGGGAAGGCGAGGGCGCTCCACAGAGACAAACAGCAGCGCCGTACACGGACTCAATGTTGGGCACCATGGTGGCGAGATGTTGACTACCTCGCCTGGTGTACAGGAGGTCGTGGGTTCCACCACCACCATCATCACGGTGGCTAGGAGATGTTGACTACCTCGCCTGGTGTACAGGAGGTCGTGGGTTCCACCACCACCACCATCATCACGGTGGCTAGGAGATGTTGACTACCTCGCCTGATGTACAGGAGGTCGTGGGTTCCACCACCACCATCATCACGGTGGCTAGGAGATGTTGACTACCTCGCCTGGTGTACAGGAGGTCGTGGGTTCCACCACCATCATCAGGGTGGCTAGGAGATGTTGACTACCTCGCCTGGTGTACAGGAGGTTGCTGCTGTATATTTGGAGTCTGCGTGTCTTTCTCTCTCTCCCCGTGGTGGTCACTGCGTGGATGTTGGTGGTCCATATCGTGACAACACAGAGTAGTCTACGCCCCTTCAACGGAGGAAGAGGAGGGGGGAGGGGGGACGAGGAGGGAGGAAGGGGGAAGGAGGGGGGAGGACGAGGAGGTAGGAGGAGGAGGGGGGAGGAGGAGGAGGGGGTAGGAGGAGGAGGGGGGAGGAGGAGGGAGGAGGAGGAGGGGGGAGGAGGAGGAGGGAGGATGAGGGGGGGAGGAGGACGAGGAGGAGGAGGAAGGAGGGGGTAGGAGGAGGAGGGGGAAGGAGGAGGAGGGAGGAGGAGGAGGGGGGAGGAGGAGGGGGGAGGAGGAGGGAGGAGGAAGAAGGAAGGGGGAGGAGGGGGGAGGAGGACGAGGAGGAGGAAGGAGGGGGTAGGAGGAGGAGGGGGGAGGAGGAGGGGGGAGGAGAAAGAGGAGGGGGGGAGGACGAGGAAGGAAGGGGGAGGAGGGAGGAGGGGGGAGGAGGGAGGAGGAGGGGGGAGGAGGAAGGAGGAGGGGGGAGGAGGGAGGAGGAAGGAGGGGGTAGGAGGGAGGAGGTGGTAGGAGTGATGAGGAGGAGTCTCAGGAACCTCACCAACTCGCTCTGCCGTGGCTGGCCGACCTCCCCCACCCACCGGGCGCCCCTCTCCGCAACGCCGCTGCCGTCGCGATGCGCGGCGACTTTTTACAAAAAATAAATTCTTCGCAGTTCCAAATCGCCAGTGGGAAGCAAGCGAGCGGAGCGTGGCTCTCCGCGCCATTGTACCTCCACCCCCCGCCAGCCGCCAATCCATCAAAGGCCCCCGGCAGGCCCCAGGGGGTTACGGGCACTGGCGGAGCCGGTGGGGGGGGGGGGGGGGGGGTGGTGGAACGTGCCCCCCCCAATGAACCAATCGAAATCCCTCATTTCGATCGGATCATTGTGGGTTTATTGGTAATCAATCGGCTTTTTGCGACCCCCACTGCCACCGTGTAGCACAGGGGTGGGCAAATTTCTTGACTCGCGGGCCACAGTGGGTTCTAAAATTTGACAGAGGGGCCGGTCAAAGTGCGCCATCTCATGGGCAAATGGGGGCATTACAGGAGAAAGGTAAAATTTGATTTAACAATAATAATAATATTATTTGGACAATTCATAATAAAGGTTTTTGGGTTAGATCGCGTTATTTATAATTGTGTCATAACCCTCCACCACCCGACACGGCCAATCAGCAAAAAAGTGTCACGTTGACAAAAGACAAATAGTTCACTACTTTAGCCCCACACCGGTGTGTTGAAGAGTGAATCCACATTTACAGTTTGAGTACGACGTTTCGCTGGTAATTACATCCAGCATCATTAGGCAATTCGCCAGAATGGTAAAGCCCTCGCTTGCTCCCGGTCTTAAATAGAGCAGCAGGGTGACGTCATCATTTAACTCATTCAGGTGCAGCGATTTGAGGCGGAGGGGGGGGGGGGGTATTGTAATTATATAATCGATTGGTAATCAGTCAATGGTTATGATTAGTAATGAGTTGTAGATTAGTAATTAGTTGTAATGGGTGTTATTGTGATTATATGCTACGTTAGTAATCCGTTAATTAGTATGCTTCCCCTATAAGGAATTGTAATATGTATTATTTAATAATACGCTTCCAAGCCGCACTAAGCCTGTAGCTGTCAGAGCAATTAAAGTTATTTCTATTCCTCTCAATTTCAATGGATTCTCTAATTAGTCTTCAACACACCGGTGGGCTAAAGTAGTGAACTATTTGTCTTTTGTCAACGTGACACTTTTTTGCTGATTGGCCATGTCGGGTGGTGGAGGGTTACAACACATTTATAAATAACGCGATCTAACCCAAAAACCTTTATTATGAATAATATTGGTTTGCGAAAGCCTACGTGTTAAACATTATTTGGACAAGTTTGGCGGGCCGGATTAAAAAGCCAAACGGGCCATATACAGCCCAGGGGCCGTACTTTGCCCGTGTCTGGTGTAGCATTTTATTACGTGCCAGGGACTCTATGAGTCCACGACTTCCCTGAAGGCTAAATTTAGATTTAAAGCTTTCGTGACCGCAGGGATTCATATTCTTGGTTCTTTGGGTAAAGTCACCACCACGTGGAAGGGAAACAATAAAAGAATAAAAATATAAAACAATAAAATTATCACGTCGTTTCGACTGCAACACAAGCAATCATCATCAGGTGTGAAAACCACAGCAAGAAAAAATTGAGTTGTTAGTAAGTAAGGAGTTGTTAGTAAGTAAGAAGTTGTTAGTATTCTTGGTTCTTTCGGTAAAGTCACCACGTGGAAAGGAAACAATAAAATAATAAAAATATAAAACAATAAAATTCTCACGACGTTTCGACTGCAACACAAGCAATCATCGTCAGATGTGAAAACCACAACGAGAAAACACATTTTCTTATATTTTTATTATTTTATTGTTTCCCTTCTACGTGGTGACTTTACCGAAAGAACCAAGAATATGCTTCCCTGAAGGCGTCAGCACCTTCAAGCGAGCGCGATGGTGATCACAAACAAGTAAGGGACAAGTCCTTACTTACTAACAACTCAGTGTCGGTGCCACCTGATGATGGTCGCTTGTGGTGCGATCGAAACGTCGTCATTTGTAGGAATAGGGTTTTTCCCCTTTTTTCTGGCAACAAAACTGAAACCTTTTTTGCAAAGGATTCATGTCTACTGCATTAACCACAATACCTGCAGTCAAAATGCAAACAAAAAACATACTATGATAATATATGCATTGTCCTTGAAGTGGATTGGTCCACACCAAGGGACGGCTTTCTTTTGAGCCTCGACCCAATTGGTGTTCGACCAGATGACGCCAAAAGGCGTCACACAGCTCAAAGACAATGCACTATCAAAGCAATGAGGGCTCGGGGTGAGCATCTACATCATTAGACCTCCTTTGCCAGTACCAAAATGTAATAATAGGGTTTTTCCCCTTTTTTCTGGCAACAAAACTGAAACCTTTTTTTCAAAGGATTCATGTCACTGCATTAACCACAATACCTGTAGTCAAAATGCAAACGAAAAACACACTATCATAATATATGATGCATTGTCCTTGAAGCTGATTGGTCCACACCAAGGGACGGCTTTCTTTTGAGCCTCGACCCAATTGGTGCTCGACCACATGACGGCAAAAGGCGTTACACAGCTCAAAGACAATGCGTGGCACCTGAGACAGACTCAGACACGTGGCGACTGAGACAGACTGAGACACGTGGCGACTGAGACAGACTGAGACAGACTGAGACACGTGGCACCTGAGACAGACTGAGACAGACTGAGACAGACTGAGACACGTGGCGCCTGAGACAGACTGAGACAGACTGAGACACGTGGCACCTGAGACAGACTGAGACAGACTGAGACACACTGAGACACGTGGCACCTGAGACAGACTGAGACAGACTGAGACACACTGAGACACGTGGCACCTGAGACAGACTGAGACACGTGGCACCTGAGACAGAGACAGACTGAGACACGTGGCACCTGAGACAGACTGAGACAGACTGAGACACGTGGCACCTGAGACAGACTGAGACAGCCTGAGACAGACTGAGACAGACTGAGACACGTGGCACCTGAGACAGACTGAGACAGACTGAGACACACTGAGACAGACTGAGACAGACTGAGACACGTGGCACCTGAGACAGACTGAGACAGCCTGAGACAGACTGAGACAGACTGAGACAGACTGAGACACGTGGCACCTGAGACAGACTGAGACAGACTGAGACACACTGAGACACGTGGCACCTGAGACAGACTGAGACACGTGGCACCTGAGACAGATACAGACTGAGACACGTGGCACCTGAGACAGACTGAGACAGCCTGAGACAGACTGAGACACGTGGCACCTGAGACAGACTGAGACAGACTGAGACACGTGGCACCTGAGACAGCCTGAGACAGACTGAGACAGACTGAGACACGTGGCACCTGAGACAGACTGAGACAGACTGAGACACACTGAGACAGACTGAGACAGACTGAGACACGTGGCACCTGAGACAGACTGAGACAGCCTGAGACAGACTGAGACAGACTGAGACAGACTGAGACACGTGGCACCTGAGACAGACTGAGACAGACTGAGACACACTGAGACACGTGGCACCTGAGACAGACTGAGACACGTGGCACCTGAGACAGATACAGACTGAGACACGTGGCACCTGAGACAGACTGAGACAGCCTGAGACAGACTGAGACACGTGGCACCTGAGACAGACTGAGACAGACTGAGACACGTGGCACCTGAGACAGACTGAGACAGACTGAGACACGTGGCACCTGAGACAGACTGAGACACGTGGCACCTGAGACAGACTGAGACAGACTGAGACACGTGGCACCTGAGACAGACTGAGACAGCCTGAGACAGACTGAGACAGACTGAGACACGTGGCACCTGAGACAGACTGAGACAGACTGAGACACGTGGCACCTGAGACAGACTGAGACTGACTGAGACAGACTGAGACAGACTGAGACACGTGGCACCTGAGACAGACTGAGACACGTGGCACCTGAGACAGACTGAGACAGACTGAGACAGACTGAGACACGTGGCACCTGAGACAGACTGAGACAGACTGAGACACGTGGCACCTGAGACAGACTGAGACACGTGGCACCTGAGACAGACTGAGACAGACTGAGACACGTGGCACCTGAGACAGACTGAGACAGCCTGAGACAGACTGAGACAGACTGAGACACGTGGCACCTGAGACAGACTGAGACAGACTGAGACACGTGGCACCTGAGACAGACTGAGACGGACTGAGACAGACTGAGACAGACTGAGACACGTGGCACCTGAGACAGACTGAGACACGTGGCACCTGAGACAGACTGAGACACGTGGCACCTGAGACAGACTGAGACAGACTGAGACAGACTGAGACAGACTGAGACACGTGACACCTGAGACAGACTGAGACACGTGGCACCTGAGACAGACTGAGACAGACTGAGACAGACTGAGACACGTGGCACCTGAGACAGACTGAGACAGCCTGAGACAGACTGAGACAGACTGAGACAGACTGAGACACGTGGCACCTGAGACAGACTGAGACAGACTGAGACAGACTGAGACACGTGGCACCTGAGACACACTGAGACACGTGGCACCTGAGACAGATTGAGACAGGCGTCCATACAAAATGTTAATTGCTTCAAACGAGGCAATTAATTGATTAATTGGTGTCGATTTTGACACAGGCGTTGCATTGTCACCGGATCTGAGTACGTGTCAAGGTGCCTCACTTCTCTCAACCAGCTTAAAAGACGCTGCAAATCTTAGCGGCGTTCATTGTAGCTCTGTCGTCCCGACAGGTTTGTTCCTTTCACCTGAAGAAGGCCACTTGTGTTGTGGCCGAAACGTCGTGAGAATTTAATTGTTTTATTTTATTATTTTATTCTCATTCTACGTGACTTTACCGAAAGAACCAAAGAAGATGAACACGGAGTGGACTAGCTTTCGATTGCAAGATTTGAGCCACGACAAACACAAAGGCGGGTCAAGTTAAGTAAAAACCCTTCACCGATCGGGAGACCGACGCAATGTTCGCGCTCACGTGATCGCAAAACCTTCGCTGTGGAGTCGGTCGCGAGAGAGAGACGCGCCGCCGATGTTGACTGACTACTGGCTGCTAACAAAAACTTGATTTGAAGTTTTCGTGGCTGCAGGGAATAATTACTCTTCCCAAGTCACCCTACCCCACACCTCCCACCCTGGCTCCTCCCACACCCTACTCCACACCCCCACCCTGGCTCCTCCCACACCCCCACCCTACTCCACACCCCCACCCTGGCTCCTCCCACACCCCCACCCTACTCCACACCCCCCACCCTGGCTCCTCCAACACCCCCACCCTCTCTACCTCTCCTCCCTGGCTCCTCCCACACCCCACCCTCTCTGTCTCCTCCCTGGCTCCCACACCCCCCCACCCTCTCTACCTCTCCTCCCTGGCTCCTTCCACACCCCCACCCTCTCTATGTCTCCTCCCTGGCTCCTCCCACACCCCCACCCTCTCTACCTCTCCCTGGCTCCTCCCACACCCCCACCCTCTCTCTATCTCTCCTCCCTGGCTCCTCCCACACCCCCCACCCTCTCTACCTCTCCTCCCTGGCTCCTCCCACACCCCCACCCTCTCTACCTCTCCTCCCTGGCTCCTCCCACTCCCCCACCCTCTCTACCTCTCCTCCTTGGCTCTTCCCACACCCCCACCCTCTCTACCCCCCCCACCCTCTCTACCACTCCTCTCTGGCTCCTCCCACACCCCACCCTATCTCTCCTCCCTGGCTCCTCCCACACCCCCACCCTCTCTACCTCCTCCCTGGCTCCTCCCACACCTCCACCCTCTCTATCTCTCCTCCCTGGCTCCTCCCACACCCCCACCTCAAGCTCTCCTCCCTGGCTCCTCCCACACCCCCACCCTCTCTACCTCTCCTCCCTGGCTCCTCCCACATCCCCACCCTCTCTATCTCTCTTCCCTGGCTCCTCCCACACCCCCACCTTCTCAAGCTCTCCTCCCTGGCTCTTCCCACACCCCCACCTTCTCAAGCTCTCCTCCCTGGCTCTTCCCACACCCCCACCCTCTCTACCTCTCCTCCCTGGCTCCTCCCACACCCCCACCCTCTCTACCTCTCCTCCCTGGCTCCTCCCACACCCCCAGCCTCTTCCTCTCCTCCCTGGCTCCTCCCACACCCCTACCCTCTCTTTCTACCTCTCCTCCTTGGCTGCTCCCACACCCCTACCCTCTCTACCTCTCCTCCCTGACTCCTCCCACACCCCCAGCCTCTTCCTCTCCTCCCTGGCTCCTCCCACACCCCTACCCTCTCTTTCTACCTCTCCTCCTTGGCTGCTCCCACACCCCTACCCTCTCTACTTCTCCTCCCTGGCTCCTCCCACACCCCCACACTCTCTTTCTACCTCTCCTCCTTGGCTGCTCCCACACCCCTACCCTCTCTACCTCTCCTCCCTGGCTCCTCCCACACCCCCACCCTTTCTACCTCTCCTCCCTGGCTCCTCCCCCCTCTCTGACCTATATGGCCTCTTGTCACAAGCAGCCCATTTTGCCCACTTCAGCAATAGTTTCTTGCTGTGGTTGTCCCACCAGATGACGGGGACCCCTGCAGTCACGAAAACTTCAAATCTAGATTCACATCTAGATTACTCTGTGGTTATTTCGGTACAGTCGCGTAGCAAGAATACAAATTAAACACTAGAACACGACGATTCGATTGCAACACAAGCAGTCGTCATCAGGTAGAGCTCAATTTGAGAGAGAGACACAACACAGACACTGAGACACACAGACAGACACACAAGCAGAGAGAGACAACACAGAGACACAGAGAGAGACACACAGAGACACACAACATAGACACACAGAGAGAGACACACAGAGACACAGAGAGAGACACACAACATAGACACACAGAGACACACAGAGAGAGAGACACACAAAATAGACACACAGACATACAAGCAGAAAGAGACAACACAGAGACACACAGACACAGAGACACACAACATAGACACACAGACAGTGGAAATCCACCCTGAAGCGGTGACAGGGAGAGAGGAAGACCCAGCAAGTCTGGTACATTTTAGAGAGAATTGAGTGGAAATCCACCCTGAAGAGGTGACAGGGGAGAGTGAAAGATCCACCAAGTCTGGTACATTTTAGAGAGAGCTGAGTGGAAATCCACCCTGAAGAGGTGACAGGGGGAGAGAGAAAGACCCAGCAAGTCTGGTACATTTTATAGAGAGTTGAGTGGAAATCCACCCTGAAACGGTGACAGGGAGAGTGAAAGACCCAGCAAGGCTGGTACATTTTAGAGAGAGCTGAGTGGAAATCCACCCTGAAGCGGTTACAGGGGGAGAGAGAAAGATCCAGCAAGTCTGGTACATTTTAGAGAGAGCTGAGTGGAAATCCACCCTGAAGCAGTGACAGGGAGAAAGACCCAGCAAGTCTGGTACATTTTAGAGAGAGTTGAGTGGAAATCCACCCTGAAGAGGTGACAGGGAGAGAGAGAATGACCCAGCAAGTCTGGTACATTTTAGAGAGAGCTGAGTGGAAATCCACCCTGAAGAGGTGACAGGGGGAGAGAGAAAGACCCAGCAAGTCTGGTACATTTTATAGAGAGTTGAGTGGAAATCCACCCTGAAACGGTGACAGGGAGAGTGAAAGACCCAGCAAGGCTGGTACATTTTAGAGAGAGCTGAGTGGAAATCCACCCTGAAGCGGTTACAGGGGGAGAGAGAAAGATCCAGCAAGTCTGGTACATTTTAGAGAGAGCTGAGTGGAAATCCACCCTGAAGAGGTGACAGGGGGAGAGAGAAATACCCACCAAGTCTGGTACATTTTAGAGAGAGTTGAGTGGAAATCCACCCTGAAGAGGTGACATGGAGAGAGAAAGACCCAGCAAGTCTGGTACATTTTAGAGAGAGCTGAGTGGAAATCCACCCTGAAGAGGTGACAGGGGAGAGTGAAAGACCCAGCAAGTCTGGTACATTTTAGAGAGAGCTGAGTGGAAATCCACCCTGAAGAGGTGACAAGGGGAGAGAGAGAGACCCAGCATGTCTGGTACATTTTAGAGAGAGCTGAGTGGAAATCCACCCTGAAGAGGTGACATGGAGAGAGAAAGACCCAGCAAGTCTGGTACATTTTAGAGAGAGCTGAGTGGAAATCCACCCTGAAGAGGTGACAGGGGGAGAGAGAAAGACCCAGCAAGTCTGGTACATTTTAGAGAGAGCTGAGTGGAAATCCACCCTGAAGAGGTGACAGGGGAGAGAGAAAGATCCAGCAAGTCTGGTACATTTTAGAGAGAGCTGAGTGGAAATCCACCCTGAAGAGGTGACAGGGGGAGAGAGAAAGACCCAGCAAGTCTGGTACATTTTAGAGAGAGCTGAGTGGAAATGAAATGCAATGCAACGCAGAGAGTCGGCTAACACACACACACAGTGAACGCATATCCTGGCTGATTACGTTCTCCAAAGATTGCTAAATTTAGAGCTGAGCAACTGCGTCCTACTGTAGCATTCAACTCACACCGCCGCGCTCTCTCCGCATCGCAGCGCCAGACCTGAAGATCGTCAAGGTCGAGAGAGCCGGCGAGAGGACGGAGGGGAGCCGGGATTCACACGGCTGGCGCCCGGCCGCTCTGCACCGCAACTTCATTGAGGTGGAGTTGTCGGAGGGGGACGATGGCGAAGGTGACGGTCCCCCCGCCAGCATCTCATCACGTCACACACACAGAGTGACAGAGTGAATGTCACACACACAGAGAGTGAATGTCACACACAGAGTGAATGTCACACACACACACAGAGTGAATGTCACACACACAGAGTGAATGTCACACACACACAGAGAGTGAATGTCACACACAGAGTGAATGTCACAGAGTGACAGAATGAATGTTACACACAGTGACAGAGTGAATGTCTCACACACACACAGAGTGAATGTCACACACACAGAGTGACAGAGTGAATGTCACACACACGCACAGAGAGTGAATGTCACACACACACAGAGTGAATGTCACACACACAGAGTGAATGTCACACACACACACAGAGAGTGAATGTCACACACACACAGAGAGAGTGAATGTCACACACAAGAGTGAATATCACACAGAGTGAATGTCACACACACACACACAGAGTGAATGTCACACACATACACACACAGAGTGAATGTCACACACACAGAGTGAATGTCACACACAGTGACAGAGTGAATGTCACACACACAGAGTGAATGTCACACACACAGTGAATGTCACACACACAGAGTGAATGTCACACACACAGAGTGAATGCCACACACAGTGAATGTCACACACACACAGAGTGAATGTCACACACACACAGAGTGAATGTCACACACACAGAGTGACAGAGTGAATGTCACACACACACAGAGTGACAGAGTGAATGTCACACACATAGAGTGAATGTCACACACACAGAGTGACACAGTGAATGTCACACACACAGAGTGAATGTCACACACAGTGAATGTCACATACACAGAGTGAATGTCACACACACAGAGTGAATGTCACACACACAGTAAATGTCACGCACACACAGTGAATGTCACACACACAGTGAATGTCACACATAGAGTGACAGAGTGAATGTCACACACACAGAGTGAATGTCACACACAGAGTGAATGTCACACACACACAGAGTGAATGACACACACACAGAGTGAATGTCACACACACACACACACAGAGTGAATGTCACACATACACAGAGTGAATGTCACACACACAGAGTGAATGTCACCCACACAGTGAATGTCACACACACAGAGTGAATGTCACACACACAGTGAATGTCACACACACAGAGTGAATATCACACACACAGTGAATGTAACACACACAGAGTGAATGTCACACACAGAGTGAATGACACACACAGTGAATGTCACACACTCAGAGTGAATGTCACACACACAGTGAATGTCACACACACAGAGTGAATGTCACACACACTCTTCTCTCTCCACCCCCACAAACAACACAATCACCGCTACCGCTCTGCCCAGCGAGCGGCAGCGGTAGCAGTCGTTTAAGGCAGCGGTCCCCAATATTTTTGGCACCCAGGGAACCGGTTTCGTGGAAGACAACTTTTCTTCACGGAACGGGGGGGCGGCGGGCGTGGGGGGGCGGGGGGTTCATCATTGGAGTCTTTCCCCCTTATCAAACGAGCTCTCAGGCGACGTTTTGTTTTAGACTCATTGTGGCCTAGGGGGGTCAGCTTCTGGGGCTTACCAAAAACCGCGACTGTGACGAGTGAGCAGTGCGGGCAAAGAGGCACGGACGGAAGTGGTCAATAATAAAATAAGGGGGGGCGGGCCGAGCTGGGACTCACCGCTCTCACCACCCGCTGTGCGGCCACGTTCTGAACAGGCCGCGGACCGGCGCCGGTCCGCGGCCCGGGGGTTGGGGACCCCTGGTTTAAGGTCCCCGTCCGCAGCCACGGTGAGGTCTGCGATGGGCAGGTGAGTCGCATGCGGTGGTGGGGTACAGAGTTGGCTTCCCACCTTGACCCAAGCAGGACGCGGTGGCTAGGAGATGTTGACTACCTCGCCTGGTGCGCAGGAGGTCGTGGGTTCCACCACCACCACCATCATCATCACGGTGGATAGGAGATGTTGACTACCTCGCCTGGTGTACAGGAGGTCGTGGGTTTCACCGCCACCATCACCACGGTGGCTAGGAGATGTTGACTACCTCGCCTGGTGTACAGGAGGTCGTGGTTTCCACCACCACCATCATCACGGTGGCTAGATGTTGACTACCTCGCCTGGTGTACAGGAGGTCGTGGTTTCCACCACCGTCATCATCACAGTGGCTAGGAGATGTTGACTACCTCGTCTGGTGTACAGGAGGTCGTGGGTTCCACCACCACCACCATCATCACCACGGTGGCTAGGAGATGTTGACTACCTCGCCTGGTATACAGGAGGTCGTGGGTTCCACCACCACCATCATCATTACGGTGGCTAGGAGATGTTGACTACCTCGCCTGGTGTACAGGAGGTCGTGGGTTCCACCACCACCACCATCATCACGGTGGCTAGATGTTGACTCCCTCGCCTGGTGTACAGGTGGTCGTGGGTTCCACAACTATCATCATCACGGTGGCTATGAGATGTTGACTACCTCGCCTGGTGTGCAGGAGGTCGTGGATTCAATCCCGACCCTGACGCCTGCTGCTACTGCTGCTGTATATTTGGAGTCTGTGTCTCTCTCCCCGCTGTGTATTTTGTTGGAGTCCCCACGTGGGTTTTCCTCCAGGACCTCCGGCGCTTCTCCCTCGACGTGTGAAATCGACATCGCCCCCTGTGCTTTTCCCACGCCACTTCGTTTGCCTGTAACTTGTGGCCCAGGTCACTTCTGAAAAAAATAGCCACGTAGCTCAGTGGGCCCTTGACCTGGTAAAATAATTTTCTAAATTAGTTTCCTGTATACCGGCTCGGCGTGGAAGAGTAGACCAAGATTCTACTCCGGAGCGGCCTCCAGTTAGAGGAGGCCTCCTCTGTACTTGTTTTTTGTTTTATATTTGGGGGGTAGATTGTGTAAAATGTTTGTGTAGATGCGTCGTTAAAGCCGCAGCCAACTCGTAAGGGGTTTAGTGTCACGTCGACAGAACGTGGCCAATTCGTTACTGGTACAGCACTAGTGTATAGTGTAGTGTATACTAGTGTATAGTGTAGTGTATAGTGTAGTGTGTAGTGTATAGTGTAGTGTATACTAGTGTATAGTGTAGTGTATAGTGTAGTGTATAGTGTAGTATACTAGTACAGCACTAGTGTATAGTATAGTGCATAGTGTAGTATACTAGTACAGCACTAGTGTGTAGTGTATAGTGTAGTATACTAGTACAGCACGAGTGTATAGTGTAGTGTATAGTGTAGTATACTAGTACAGCACTAGTGTATAGTGTAGTGTAGAGTGTATTACTTCATAATATGCTTACAAGCAGCACTGAGCCTATAGCTATCAGAACGGTTAAAATGTGTTTTTATTTCTCCAATTTCAATAGATGATCTAATTAGTCTTGGCCAGCAGTAACCATTTTTGCACAAAACTTCAACATTATCAAAATAAATTGAGTGTCCTTGCTGGCACGCGTGTTCTGCCACTGCCGACAATTGTGTTTGTGAGTATTTCATATTCCTTTGGTGTTCTTTTTGTCTCGTGCTGATCATTCGACCCGTCTGACCAACACAGCATTTGCCGCAGGCGCAATGAATCCGGTGCACACCTTCTGTTGATAGCTTCGGTAATACATCTTTGGTACTGGATATTAGTTTGTTATTTTATGTACCGTGCCAAATATGACTCGGATGTTTCGTTTTTTCCAAAATCTGGCAAGTTTATCAGTTACTCCCGCAACTTACCAGAATAACGTTAGGGTTAAGCTTAATATCTTTCATTGCATTCACGAGATGTTCTGAGTTTTTAATGAACGACCAGGTCCTGCCAATGTGGGGCTGTCTTTGTTTTGTTACGCATTGTGCTCAATTTGTATGTGGCAGAGCCCATTGTACTGACTATGGGTCTTCATGGGACAGCGGGTTTGTGAATGTTTGGTTAACCCATAAAGTCTTGGCGGTTTTAACGCCCTTGGTATGAACAGGTATTGCTCTTCCCTTGGGAATTGATGACTTGGCAATGATTGCCGTAGTCTTACGTTTCAAGGTTGGGTCTCGTTTAAGGTTGGGTCTTGATTCATTTCAGGTTAGGTACCTTCATCCAGTAAAATCTCTTGATTTTATTATCATAACCCTCACGGGGCATCACAGCAGTTTATCGGCCCTTATCAGCAGCGGCAAGAATTTGGATATCTTTACTTACTCTCAATTCTCTAAAGGCTCTTTGCCTCACTCAGGCTAATATTCGTTTGTGGCAATTTACCGTTCTCACTTGTTTTGGCAACCTCATTCCTCGTCATCTCAGCTTCATTGTGTGGGAGGTGTCTGCCGCCTTCACTTCAGCAATTGTCTCATGGACAGGGATGGTACGCGGGGCAACAGCAAAGTTAAGACCTCTGGATAGGACTGATACCGTAGGGTTGGATTATTCAACGCTCGTCATGTTCATAGCCGTTTTTCTTTTTAATTGTTCATTTTTAGTTGAGAGTTGTTTATAGGTCGAGCAAATTTGTTTAATTATGCCATGTTAGTTTTGTGAAATACATTGTCAACCAATTGCTATGCTATTGTGTTGATTATATGGCAATCATCTGTAGAGATAGTTACTAATTTGTAAACGTAAGTACATTTGTGATTTAGAAATGTGAACTAGTTCGCTCCTATTATGCTCTATGCACTGGCGCGAGCCGGCGCTTGCAGGGCCACATCTTTATCTGTCGCGGTGTTGCTAGTGCTGAGTGTAATGCCGCTATTCAAATCATCGTCGTTATCGCCATCGCCGTCATGCTGATAATAGATAACAGCTGCGGGGATTCCCGTGGGCGTCTGCTGTTCCCAGACGAGAACTTCATCGAGGTGGAGTTGTCAGCGGAGGAGGACGACGTTGGTGAAGGTGAGACTTCCACCACTCTCCGATCGCAATCGCGGAGGGAACGCACTTCTGTCCCCGGCTCCTTTCCCAGAAACGTAATCCGGTTCAGATTTTTCCCTTCAACCGCCGCGCACAGCGTTTCCACGTCATTCCGCCCCCATTCCCACCCCCCCCCCCCCCCCCCCGATTACGACCGACCGCCGCCCCTGCGTTTTGTTTCGCTAAAAAAGAAAAACCTGTGCGGCAGGCGCAGCGAGGGGATCAGGTCTCCCGTGCGACGAGTGCGGGAAGGGCCACGGCGAGGGCATCCGGACGACCGTGGCGGCGGCGGTGGCCGGGGTCGGAGGCAAACGCGGAGGCCGGACCTCGCGAGCCTGCGCACGGTGCGGAGAGAAGCCGCCGGGAGGCGTCGCGTCGCGCGGCGGCGGCGGCGATGCCGGCGGCGGCGGCGGCGGGCGGTTGCGGAAAAATCGGGCGGCGTTCGGCGGAGAGAAACGTTGCCTGCGGTCGACGCACGGAGTGAAGGCGTCTCCCACGCCGGCCAGCGGCGCCGACGGCGGCAAGCCGCACGCGTGCGACGAGTGCGGGAAGGGGTTCACGCACCGCTACCGACTGCGGAGGCACGTCAAGACGCACGCGGGCGAGCGGCCGCACGTGTGCGCCGAGTGCGGCAAGGCGTTCGCGCTGCGCGGCAACCTGGAAGCTCACGCCCGGAAGCACACGGGGGAGAGGCCGCACGCGTGCGCCGAGTGCGGTAAGACGTTCTCGCACCGCTACCGACTGCGGAGGCACGTGAAGACGCACGCGGGCGAGCGGCCGCACGTGTGCGCCGAGTGCGGCAAGGCGTTCACGCTGCGCGGCAACCTGGAAGTTCACGCCCGGAAGCACACGGGCGAGAGGCCGCACGCGTGCGGCGAGTGCGGGAAGACGTTCGCGACGCGCTACAACCTGGAGACGCACGCGCGGACCCACACGGGCGAGTGGCCGCATGCGTGCACCGAGTGCGGCAAGGGTTTCGCGACGCGCTCCAACCTGGAGGCGCACGCGCGCGTCCACACGGGCGAGAGGCCGCACGCCTGCGGCGAGTGCGGCAAGCGCTTCTCGCTGCGCGTCAACCTGGAGACGCACGCGCGCACCCACACGGGCGAGAGGCCGCACGCTTGCCCCGACTGCGGCCGGGGTTTCACGCGCCGCTCCAACCTGGAGAGGCACGCGCGGACCCACACGGGCGAGTGGCCGCGCGCGTGCCCCGACTGCGGCAAGGGGTTCGTGCTGCGCGCGGGCCTCGAGGCGCACCGCCGGACGCACGCCCCCGAGAGGCTGCACACCTGCGCCGAGTGCGGGGAGGCGTTCGCGCGGCGCTCCGGCCTCGAGACGCACGCGCGCGTCCACGCGGGCGAGAGGCTGCACGCGTGCGCCGACTGCGGGAGGGGCTTCGCGCGCCACTCGCACCTCAAGGAGCACTCGAAGACGCACAGCGGCGAGCGGCCGCACGCCTGCGGCGAGTGCGGGCGCGCCTTCTCGCAGCGCTCGAACCTGGAGACGCACGCGAGGACGCACACGGGCGAGAGGCCTCACGTGTGCGAGGAGTGCGGCCGGGGATTCTCGCGGAGGAACGCGTTGAAGAGGCACTACAAGACGCATGCCGCCGAGCGGACGCCCTGAGCCGCCCTCCTCGCGGACACCGACGGTGGAACGCCCTTTCCGGATTTTGCCCTGCCGTGCATCGCCTTCGCGCCCCCTTATACACACAAAGACAAAGATCCCCCCCATGTGGCCTTCAACAGACTGTTGGGGCCGTTCGCGAGCACGTAATGAAGGCCGGCACTGTGGCACACGATGACGTTTGCGTGGCTAGCACCGCGCCCGGCTGCCTCTGTCTCCCGAGCGGCAATGTTTACACATCTCACCAGGTACTCATTTGAGACCGCGTCGACCTAGGGGAGACCCAGGACCGGTTCAGAAATTTGTCACTGGTCGAACTCTGGTCGCTGGGTTGGTAGCGCAACGTGCTAACCGCTACACTTCCGCTCCCCGCTATCACCTCCACCATCGCCGCCATTACAAAATGTCTGTTTCTGTGTTCACTTGTAGTGTGAAGATGATCTGCTGCCCTTATCATCTTCAATCTCCTCCACCACTCCCACGTATCACCTCTCCTCATCCTGCTTCCCGTCTACTGTCGTTGCACTAGCTACAAAGTGTTTGCCACGAATGAACCACATTACCTCGCTGATCTCAAGGAACAGACATCATCACGCAAACCCCGGTCATCCTCACAGCGGCGGCTTTTGGCTAGCCATCGAACAAAGACGGTCAACGTAAATACAGCGCCCTCTTTCCTCCACAGCTCCCTCTTTCCTCCACAGCTCCCTCATTCATCCATAGCTCTCTCCTTCATCCACAGCTCCCTCCTTCATCCACAGCCCCCTCCTTCATTCACAGGTCCCTCCTTCATCCACAGCTCCCTCCTTCATCCACAGCTCCCTCCTTCATCCACAGCTCCCTCCTTCATCCAAAGCTCCCTCCTTCATCCACAGCTCTCGCCTTCATCCACAGCTCCCTCATTCATCAACAGCTCCCTCCTTCATCCACAGCTCCCTCCTTCATCCACAGCTCTCTCCTTCATCCACAGCTCCCTCCTTCATCGACAGCTTCCTCCTTCATCCACAGCTTCATCCAGAGCTCGCTCCTTCATCCACAGCTCTCTCCTTCATCCACAGCTACCTCCTTCACCCACAGCTCCCTCCTTCATCCACAGCTCTCTCCTTCATCCACAGCTCTCTGCTTCATCCACAACTCCCTCCTTCATCCACAGTTCCCTGCTTCATCCACAGCTCTCTCCTTCATCCACAGCTCCCTCCTTCATCCACAGCTCCCTTCTTCATCCACAGCTCTCTCCTTCACCCACAGCTCCCTCCTTCACCCACAGCTCCCTCCTTCATCCACAGCTCCCTCCTTCATCCACAGCTCCCTCCTTCATCCACAGCTCCCTCCTTCATCGACAGCTCCCTCCTTCATCCACAGCTCTCCCCTTCATCCACAGCTCCCTCCTTCATCCACAGCCCTCTCCTTCATCTACAGTTCCCTCCTTCATCCACAGCTCCCTCCATTCACAGCTCTCTCCTTCATCCACAGCTCCCTGCTTCATCCACAGCTTCCTCCTTCATCCACAGCTCCCTCCTTCATCCACAGCTCCCTCGATCCACTGCTCCCTCCTTCATCCAGAGCTCGCTCCTTCATCCACAGCTCTCTCCTTCATCCACAGCTCTCTGCTTCATCCACAGCTCTCTCCTTCACCCACAGCTCCCTCCTTCACCCACAGCTCCCTCCTTCATCCACAGCTCCCTCCTTCATCCACAGCTCCCTTCTTCATCCACAGCTCCCTCCTTCATCGACAGCTCCCTCCTTCATCCACAGCTCCCCCCTTCATCCACAGCTCCTTCCTTCATCCACAGCCCTCTCCTTCATCTACAGTTCCCTCCTTCATCCACAGCTCCCTCCATTCACAGCTCTCTCCTTCATCCACAGCTCCCTGCTTCATCCACAGCTTCCTCCTTCATCCACAGCTCCCTCCTTCATCCACAGCTCCCTCGATCCACTGCTCCCTCCTTCATCCAGAGCTCGCTCCTTCATCCACAGCTCTCTCCTTCATTCACAGCTCTCTGCTTCATCCACAGCTCCCTCCTTCACCCACAGCTCCCTCCTTCATCCACAGCTCCCTCCTTCATCCACAGCTCTCTGCTTCATCCACAGCTCTCTCCATCCACAGCTCCCTCCTTCATCCACAGCTCTGTCCATCCACAGCTCTCTCCTTCACCCACAGCTCCCTCCTTCATCCACAGCTCCCTCCTTCATCCACAGCTCCCTCCTTCATCCACAGCTCTCTGCTTCATCCACAGCTCTCTCCTTCATCCACAGCTCCCTCCTTCATCCACAGCTCACTCCTTCATCTACAGCTCCCTCCTTCATCCACAGCTCCCTCCTTCATCGACAGCTCCCTCCTTCACCGACAGCTCTCCCCTTCATCCACAGCTCCCTCCTTCATCCACAGCCCTCTCCTTCATCCACAGTTCCCTCCTTCATCCACAGCTCACTCCATTCACAGCTCTCTCCTTCATCCACAGCTCCCTGCTTCATCCACAGCTCCCTCGGTCCACTGCTCCCTCCATCAAGAGCTCGCTCCTTCATCCACAGCTCTCTCCTTCATCCACAGCTCTCTGCGTCATCCACAGCTCTCTCCTTCATCCACAGCTCCCTCCTTCATCCACAGCTCTGTCCATCCACAGCTCTCTCCTTCACCCACAGCTCCCTCCTTCACCCACAGCTCCCTCCTTCATCCACAGCTCCCTCCATCCACAGCTCCCTCCTTCATCCACAGCTCTCTGCTTCATCCACAGCTCTCTCCTTCATCCACAGCTCCCTTCTTCACCCACAGCTCCCTCCTTCATCCACAGCTCTCTGCTTCATCCACAGCTCTCTCCTTCATCCACAGCTCCCTCCTTCATCCACAGCTCTGTCCATCCACAGCTCTCTCCTTCACCCACAGCTCCCTCCTTCATCCACAGCTCCTTCCTTCATCCACAGCCCTCTCCTTCATCTACAGTTCCCTCCTTCATCCACAGCTCCCTCCATTCACAGCTCTCTCCTTCATCCACAGCTCCCTGCTTCATCCACAGCTTCCTCCTTCATCCACAGCTCCCTCCTTCATCCACAGCTCCCTCGATCCACTGCTCCCTCCTTCATCCAGAGCTCGCTCCTTCATCCACAGCTCTCTCCTTCATTCACAGCTCTCTGCTTCATCCACAGCTCCCTCCTTCAACCACAGCTCCCTCCTTCATCCACAGCTCCCTCCTTCATCCACAGCTCTCTGCTTCATCCACAGCTCTCTCCATCCACAGCTCCCTCCTTCATCCACAGCTCTGTCCATCCACAGCTCTCTCCTTCACCCACAGCTCCCTCCTTCATCCACAGCTCCCTCCTTCATCCACAGCTCCCTCCTTCATCCACAGCTCTCTGCTTCATCCACAGCTCTCTCCTTCATCCACAGCTCCCTCCTTCACCCACAGCTCCCTCCTTCATCCACAGCTCCTCCTTCATCCACAGCTCTCTGCTTCATCCACAGCTCCCTCCTTCATCCACAGCTCCCTCCTTCATCCACAGCTCCCTCCTTCATCCACAGCTCCCTCCTTCATCCACAGCTCTCTCCTTCATCCACAGCTCTCTGCGTCATCCACAGCTCTCTCCTTCATCCACAGCTCCCTCCTTCATCCACAGCTCTGTCCATCCACAGCTCTCTCCTTCACCCACAGCTCCCTCCTTCACCCACAGCTCCCTCCTTCATCCACAGCTCCCTCCATCCACAGCTCCCTCCTTCATCCACAGCTCTCTGCTTCATCCACAGCTCTCTCCTTCATCCACAGCTCCCTACTTCACCCACAGCTCCCTCCTTCATCCACAGCTCTCTGCTTCATCCACAGCTCTCTCCTTCATCCACAGCTCCCTCCTTCATCCACAGCTCCCTTCTTCATCCACAGCTCCCTCCTTCATCGACAGCTCCCTCCTTCATCCACAGCTCCCCCCTTCATCCACAGCTCCTTCCTTCATCCACAGCCCTCTCCTTCATCTACAGTTCCCTCCTTCATCCACAGCTCCCTCCATTCACAGCTCTCTCCTTCATCCACAGCTCCCTGCTTCATCCACAGCTTCCTCCTTCATCCACAGCTCCCTCCTTCATCCACAGCTCCCTCGATCCACTGCTCCCTCCTTCATCCAGAGCTCGCTCCTTCATCCACAGCTCTCTCCTTCATTCACAGCTCTCTGCTTCATCCACAGCTCCCTCCTTCACCCACAGCTCCCTCCTTCATCCACAGCTCCCTCCTTCATCCACAGCTCTCTGCTTCATCCACAGCTCTCTCCATCCACAGCTCCCTCCTTCATCCACAGCTCTGTCCATCCACAGCTCTCTCCTTCACCCACAGCTCCCTCCTTCATCCACAGCTCCCTCCTTCATCCACAGCTCCCTCCTTCATCCACAGCTCTCTGCTTCATCCACAGCTCTCTCCTTCATCCACAGCTCCCTCCTTCACCCACAGCTCCCTCCTTCATCCACAGCTCCTCCTTCATCCACAGCTCTCTGCTTCATCCACAGCTCCCTCCTTCATCCACAGCTCCCTCCTTCATCCACAGCTCCCTCCTTCATCCACAGCTCCCTCCTTCATCGACAGCTCCCCCCTTCATCCACAGCTCTCCCCTTCATCCACAGTTCCCTCCTTCATCCACAGCTCCCTCCATTCACAGCTCTCTCTTTCATCCACAGCTCCCTGCTTCATCCACAGCCCTCTCCTTCATCCACAGTTCCCTCCTTTATCCACAGCTCCCTCCATTCACAGCTCTCTCCTTCATCCACAGCTCCCTGCTTCATCCACAGCTTCCTCCTTCATCCACAGCTCCCTCCTTCATCCACAGCTCCCTCGATCCACTGCTCCCTCCTTCATCCAGAGCTCGCTCCTTCATCCACAGCTCCCTCCTTCATCCACAGCTCCCTCCTTCATCCACAGCTCTCTGCTTCATCCACAGCTCTCTCCTTCATCCACAGCTCCCTCCTTCATCCACAGCTCTGTCCATCCACAGCTCCCTCCTTCATCCACAGCTCCCTCCTTCATCCACAGCTCTCTGCTTCATCCACAGCTCCCTCCTTCATCCACAGCTCCCTCCTTCATCCACAGCTCCCTCCTTCATCCACAGCTCTCCCCTTCATCCACAGCTCCCTGCTTCATCCACAGCTTCCTCCTTCATCCACAGCTCCCTCCTTCATCCACAGCTCCCTCCTTCAC